GTATGTATAGGCAAGGCCCGGATCAAATTAGAAGGGCCATTGATATTATAGTGTGTATAGCCTCTAGTGATCCCCTCCTACTACTTGATTACGCTAATGTGGAAGAAACTGTAATGCAATTGTATGTTATACTGATTGTGCATCATGTGCTATTTTATTGTCTTATTGTAATTTGGAAAATTAATAAAATACTCAAGAGTTAAAAAAAGTGATGTATGTAAATTGTTGTAAAATAAAGAAAAAAGGGACTGAGGGGGAGCCAGGATTTCAATTCAGGAGATTTTTTGGATAGTTAGTCCATTGATGGAGACACAGGTTCCTCCTTTTCATTCAACTGCCGCTGAGTTGTGGCAACACAATTTCTTACAATAATATCTGAAACAACCTTCCTTGTCCTCGAGCTAAACAGCAGCTCTTCTGTCTACAGAATCATTCCACAATAACCTCCATACTGCCATTATTCCCCCATAATCTAAACTGTCAGCCACTTAAGTGAAATCTATTTTCACTGAGTTTTTCATTACACGTAGAATAGCGCCAGCTAGAAAAGGCCGATAAAACAGCATTTCAGTATTATCTAATATAAAGAAATGATTGAAAGCCGAGGTCTGTAAATAAACACATCTTCCCGGTAAGTGTGTCCGATATTCTCGAAATAAAGGAACAGAATTGTCTTTATATTCCTCAGTGATTGTCAAGAGTAGAAATAATGACTCAATCACTCAGCTGTGACATTTATATTTTGGGGCCAAAAAAAAAAAATGAATGTCATTTTTAGAATGTTCCGGACTGCAAAATGTGGCTAGTGACGATATTTTGCAGGCACATGGTTAAAAGGAGATTTATAACGAGAGATAAATGGAGGCGGCTTTGCTCATTGGCATTCCTGTTGCCGAAGATCTTTGCTCTATTGAAAAGCTGAGCACGCTGAAGAATCATTTGGGGACGCTGATCTGTCATTACAACTGGGTGGAGCCAGCCGTGATCTTGGCTGGCTCCACCCAGCTGTCATTTGCAGGGCGAAAAGCCGGACTTCGGCAGGCCGCTCTCCCCGCTTCGGTTGACACTTCGGCTCAGTCGAGCTGCTCGGCCGCCTTCAGCTGCTGTACGGGCTATTGTGAATAGCCCGTACAGCAGCCCTTCAGTTCGACTGAACCGAAGGGCTCCGGCGGCCGAAGAATCAGCCGAAGCTGCGGGTGGATCCTTTGTGAATAGCCCCCTACGTCTTCACAAATGCAATGTAATTTCAAATGATTTGGTGTAATATCACAATATGGCTTCTAGATGGTGCTGAGGATCATACCAAACAAATACTTATTTCCTGTGCTCCTTTATCTCTATCTAATGGCCATAATGCAATATTACACCAAAAAATTCCAAATTATATTGCACTTATGAAGAAAAAAAAAACCAAGAATGTTCATTTTTGGATAAATTTGCACAGATTGATTCCACA